GGGGGTGGGGGTGGGTGGAGAATATTTCCACTGGAAAAAAATTAAACTTTGTGTGAAAATAAATTAATTTCATGTGCCTGCTGGACTTCAGGGGGGCTGATGGATCCAAGAATGAATCTGTGGCTGGGAAATAAAAGCAGCTAAATGCATTTGAGCTGCAGAAAAATATATTGCCAGTAAGATTAAGGACAGCAAGAAAAGAAAATCTTTACATTTATGTAGGTGGGAACTAAAAAGACTGACACTTCTGCATTTTCTGCATCATCATTAGCAATTGTATTTCCTAAATCCTTCTGTTCTGTGTTTGAACAATTGAGAGAGTCACATATTACAGTGATAAAGCATAGCTCCTTTTCCATTAACAGCCTGAAGGGATGCTACTCGGTGGCTCATAATGCTAACCTGCAGGTGAGATGTGAGAGAAGACATTTTACATGGGTGCGTCACCTTGGGGCAGTGTTTCTTCCTGAGTCACTCAGGACTCTCTTGCTGGCACAGTCACTTCCTGTGCATTTAGTATTAGTAGAGGATAAAGACATCAGTGTCTATATTCTGAGCTTCACATCTGCAAAGTACATGAAACCTAACAGAGCAGAAAGCCTTGCTGGGATCACACTGGTTGCAGGGGTAGCTCAAGAAGGTGATCCATATAAATTCCATTGACTGCTTTCAGCACAGTTCGCTACAGAAATCTACATTTCAAGTCCCGCTCAGAGACTGAGATGCTCCGGTGGAAGGCAGTATTACTGAATAGGATCTAGGGAATATTTTACAAACCCATTTGAATATTAGAGCTCTATTATGTTGTAGTGAAGAGGCTGAGTGATATCACTGCATATATTAGAACAGGAGTATTAAGTAGGAGTACAAGAGATAGTCTTAAATCTATATAAGACAATGATGAGACCATTACTGGAATCTATTTAATTTATCATAGAGAGTTAGGAGGTGAACCATTTAGTCTATAAATACTTTCATAGCAAAAAAAGAAATCTGATAGCAGAATTCAATCTAGAAGATGAAATGCCTGTATGATCCACTGGGTAAAAGCTAAAGCTACCAAAGTTCAGTTTAGAAATAAAACATTTTTTCATAGTCAGGATAATGAACCATTGAAACAAGTTTTTAGGGTATGTGGTAGCTTTTACAGTAACTGAAACACTGAAGTCAAAACTAGATGCCATTTTAAAAGAAATGCTACATTTCAAGATGAAGTTTGAGGTCTGATGGAATTATATGTGGGGTTTGTTATGCAGAAGGTTTGTTGTGGCTTTATCAATGTATGAATTAATGACCTCAGACTTTTTTTTAATTAAGAAGAGATGGGAATACATAGAGAGAAGAGGGACACAGAAAGAGCCAGCAAGGCTCAACAGGGTCACAAAACATAAAAGAAGTGTCACGCAGGTAACACAATGACTTTCCAACTGGTTGCATTGACATGGCATTATCCCTGCATGAATGTGAAGAAAGAGACTTACTGCTTATAGTGAAATGCAATTTCTGCTATCGATTTCCTTCTCTGGCGATATACTTGGTCAGAGTAGCCCTGTGATGACAAATAGGAACAGAAACAGGATTTTTAATCAGTTACTAAAGTTTCTCACCCAACAAAGTTCATCACTGGTTGGAGAAACTTCTCTCATGGTGGTGATTGCACTACAGTCCCCTCATCAGCTGCACTAATAAGTGTTCTCCAGCTCCCTGCTTCTGAGAGAAGGCCCAGGACTCCAAAGTGAGGATGTGCCCAAACAGACTAACTCACCGGGTGATCCAGATCCAAATCAGGGTCAAACTTGGTGACCAAATGGTGGCACTTGTCCAATTCACAGATTTTTCTAGGAAACCAGTGAACTGTGGGGAGTCAAAAAGAGAAAAACTGGCTGTGGAAGCGAAGATGGAGCATCCCTTACTGAGAATGGGTTGTGAGATTGAATAAAAAACGCCTGACCTGGTGTACCAAATGCACACACACACCAAACAGCATGACACAGCTGTGTGTTCCGGGCAGTAGTCTCACGCTCTCAATGCACCTGTCTTAGCATCAGAACTAATGACATGATCTGTATCTCATGACTTCCCTGCCCATCTCTCAGCAGAGTTGTTTTTTGTTTTGGTTTTCTTTTTGACAAAAGTAAACAAGAAAATGAAAATTGGATTTTACTTAAAGATTCTAGACTTCAAATTAAAATCAAATCCAGAGGTCCAGCTGCTTGTAGAGCAATAACTGACGATCTCCAGAGGTATTTTACAATAAGAATCACCCTGTCTTCAGAACAGGAAGGTGTGGGGAGTGTCTTATAGTTTAGTGCTGGATCTGTTCAGAGTTCCTGACACACAGGTAGGAAACTGCTTTACATTTATATGATAAAACACTGGAGTAGGGATGGAGAACTCTGTACAAGAGGTGTGAACAAGGCATGAAATTTCATCTCCTGTTTTGGTGGAGGTTTGTGGGGGGTTTTTTTGTTTGTTTGTTTTTGGGGTTTGGGGTTTTGTTTTGTTTTTTTTTTTTCAATCTGGCACTAGAAGAATGGACTGTGGACTCTGGAGTCTGTTGAGAAATGGACAAGGAGGGAAGTGGCTTTCAGGATTCAGGTGTCCCAGAGGCAGTCTTTTCTGCTTTGCTCAAATTCGGACACAGTAGCCCTTCCCCTTTCCTGGGAATAACAAAGTGTCCACCCTGTTTCTACAGGTCAGACTCTGCACAGAAGCGAAACAGTTTGTAAATTCCTTACATTTGTCTTCCTTAGTGGTCCTCACATCTTCTGCTACCCTCTTGATGGAGCTAATGAAAGTATTGAGGTCAGAGCTGTGGACTTCACAGCGGACAAAGTACTCCAGTTCAGCAGTTCCTTCACGGGGCTTTCGGCTAAGCCTCGTCTCCAAGTGGTGAATTTTAGCTTCAAATGTCTTTTGGGACATGGAAAAGAAAAAAACATTAAACAACACTTGAAACACCTGCTAGTGCTTCCCAAAAATGTCCATATGGACACATTTGGAAGAGACTCCCTTTCCTTTATTGTCCCACTTAAGGCAAAGGTGCTTTTTTGGGGGGGGG